GCATCTTCCGCCGAATCACTATACATAACTTTATTTCCCCCAAACATATTTATGTAGCTAAAATTAGTTTTAACTAATGTTAAAAGTTAAAACTAGTTTTATCTAAAATCAAAACATATACAGCAGTAAATTAACTAGACAAAACCCGTTTTGTCCAGTAAAAACTAGAATTTACTGCTAGTCAAAAATGAATTTGAGTTAGAACTAGTTTTAACTAGACAAAACGGGTTTTAACAAAGACATTTAGTATAAACTAGTTTCAAGTAGTTAAAACGCGTTCTAACTAAAAACGGGTTTTGACTGTAACATATACATATATGGTATATAGTAGATTTATTGTATAATAAAGTTTAATTTGAAAACTTATTTATGAAAATTTTGCTGAGTATAAATTGCAATAATTATAGAAATAATGCAATATAGATTTTTAAATTATTTTTATTGAAATTTCTTACATTTTGATATACATTTTTACATACTTAACACATCTTAGTAAAGGAAATTAATTCAAAAAATGATTTACAGTTACAATAGTATTACATACAGAATATTATACATAAAATTTTTATACAAGTGGTTTATTTTTTCATTTTTATAGATGATATATTGACAGAAGTACAAAGTAATTAGACTAAAAATATAAACTAATAAAATATTTATTTCTTTCATTTTGAAATTTTACATAATTATAGATTATAGTTTCACAGGCAATTTTATAATTCTTTTGCAAAAGGTAATATGTGCAGATAGAACATGAATATACAATGGCTGTGTTCAGCAGTCATCAGTTATAACTAGGGTTTCTCTAACGGAATCCTGGTAATCCTGGATTTTTTTAACCCAAGAAATCCTGCAAATTTCTTAAAAGATCACTTTTTTCTTATTTTTGTGTTAAGGTTGAGGAAATTTTGCAAATAGAAAGTATAATTAACTCATAAACTGTCAGAATACATTTGTATTTATTAATTTTAAGCTTGCTTATTAAAATCTTATTATAAAAATTTACAATAATATTTTGTATTGTTTTATTTAAAAAATGAAAATTACCTTCTAAGTTAGAAGTTTGATATAAGTTCAGGTTTTTTCTTTAAATTTTCAATTTAATTTGGGCATTTTTTTTTGTAAACTGTTTCCAACAAACTTTAATAAAAATTTTTCGGTACTTGTGAATTTTTCTTCCAGATGGTGGTGCCACCCTGGTCACCAACATCTCAACTAGTACCTGTAGCCCCTCAAAACAAATTGACTCGGTTGACTCGCTCGGTCTATTTCATTATTTCAATGCTATTAAGATTATCGCAAAGTTTCAATAAAGAAAAATGGTAAAATTATACCTATGTGCACTGTCATGGTAGCACTTCTGGTCACAACTGTTCATGCCCTGTTTAACATCACTAGTTATTGATACACAACCATGTATCAATAACTAGTGACGTTAGCAATCAATGATCTGCTGGCCAGTGCACAAACAGTCGTGATTGCTGCCATGACGGTGCACATAGGTAAAATTCTACCAGAAAAAGTTAGCAAACAAATTAGTTTAAATTATCGTTTATTTTAAACGGTTCTTTACAGTTAGCAGGGCGCCAGCCAATTGATGCAATCTAACTCACATGTATTGGATTGATAATTGGTTCAGAGAGGATTTCCCAAGTGGGTAAGTACAGAAATGGTTAGTGAATTTTGAAGCAGTTACGTAATTTTTTCTACTTCCAGTTCGTGTGATAAATTGTATAATGAAAAAGACTGGTCAATAACACATGTATGTTTAATGTAGGCTAGTTGGCCGAGTCAATTTGTGTTGAAAGGATACAGGTACCAGTTGAGATGCTGATTGCCAGGGCGGAGCCACCATTTGGGACAAAGATTCACAAGTACCATTTTTCCTATTTGTGAAAATTTCTATGTAATTCAAAGGTAATTTTTAATACATACAGTGGGTGATCGATTAACGAACATAATTCGTTCCAATATAGTGTTCGCTATTCGAATTATTTGTTAGCCAATTATCAATTTACCACAGATTTTTATGGAAATTTGATTAATTCATTTTGGAGATCCCAAAAAATAAATTAAAATTTATATACTTTCTTACTACGTTTATTTATATGTAATAATAAAAATACATACATACACAGTCTTGCATTTTTATTAGTCATGTTTTTTCCATTTGTAGTGGTTAAAGAATCTGTCCAATGTTGATTACTTTTCTCTCTTCAGGATTTTTCAGAAGTAATTAATAGCATTGTCTTTGTAGAGATCCCCAAGCCTATTAACCTCAACCTGGTTTGGATGCCATTCCAACACTGTTGTCCTGACATCCTCCCACTTCTTCAAAAGATCTTTAATAGCAGATGTCACATTGGTCTTATTTTGTCTTCCTCTTTTTCATAAGAAAACTCATATCGCTGAGTTTCTTCTGTTGTCATATCATTACGAGCTCTTAAATGTTCTTTGTTTCTCAGATGTAATTTTCATTATTCCTTTAGCTGCTTGAGTCTTTTTGATTATATCTTTCTTAGTAAGATTATGCCTACTTCAGACCTTATATTAATTATATTAATTAAATTATCCACAACTGTGAGGTAGATAATAGATAATAGTTCAAGCCACACTGACTGCCTAGCAACATCAGACATCTTCTGCCCATGCTTTACCTTGGCTATTATACACTCACCTTCTGAAAATAAAAGCCAACACAAAACTTAACAAGTGTCTACCCGACAGTCTCCTGAAGACTATAAAAAAATTTCTGTCAGAAAGATAAACAAAAGACTGGAATTACAAGAGAATTTCAAAGTTCAGAGAAATAGCCTACTGTCCGATCAGTATCGAGTTGAATGTCGATGTCTCCTGTGCTCCGAAAGCTTTTGAATTGTCATCTGGAGACAAGGGAAAACCAATCAGTATTCACTATTTTACATAGCTTCTTCTTGTGTTTGTTCTATGAGGTGTTCGTTAACCAATCACCCACTGTATTTTACATAGCATTATTAATATTATTATTTTGGAGGTTGCAGGACATATTAAGTTATTTAAAAATAAAAAATAATTATATTATTCAATTTTGAAATTTATTTTATATCTTAAAAATATTTAATTATATCCCGGGATGCCAGGAAACGGATCACTGTTTTCTCAAAATTCTGGGACAAGCAAAGGACCAGGAAATGAGAAACCCTAGTTGTAATGGTACTGTTTGGTTAATGGTATGCCAGCTAATATGTACAGCAACAAGTAAGATTCAAGCTCTGAATGAGATTTCACACCACCCCAGAATTGTTGACCCTTTGTGAGATATTCATCTTCAAAGGTCAGTTTTTAACATATATCAGTCTACAGTCTTTTCTACATGCTTCACATGTAGATGTGTGCCTCGGTGCTCCTATTGCCTACACTGAGTTGTTCAGGTGGGGGCAAGCCCCATAACCCCGTAAAACTATATAACATCAAGAACTCCATGAACAGTCAAGTGGACTACTCAAAGCTGGCACAGTTGCATTGGCTAAATTGTTAAATTCAATAGTCTTTCATGATAGTCTTCTGGTGCCCCATTAACTGAAAAAAACCATTGTAACTGAGCAAAAGTGTTTCAATTGGTAGCAGTTACCTAGTTACAACTGCTGAATGATGGGTGACGTATGCATTGGAACTGGAAGAGCTGCTGTCTTTGGTCAGTTTCGGCAAGCAATAGATAGCGTAGATGAAAGATGCTACCGAATGTGATGTCAAAATGCCAAACATGTTCCGAAACGGTGCTACCGTGCAAGGCGTTCGGCAGAAAAATACTCAACGGCTCTGGAACTGTAGAGTTTGCCGAATGCAGTCAATGATAATGCCAACATAAGCATATAGCCATTGTATCTTTTATTTTCACCGGAAACAACTGACATCACTGTCATCATCACAATTAGTTAGACATTTAATTTATTTAATATTTTTTCCACTTTAATATAACTTTCTCATATCTAATAATTTCATTTTCAACAAAATTAAACTGATCATCTAAAATAGTGTGTTTTTAAAACATGCAATTTTACAGTATCTTTTGTAAAAATAATGTTTCATTTTTCATACCAATTTTGTATTGTAAAGTAATATTATTTACAGTTGAGTCATTTATAAGATCTTTGTTTTCACTTAAATCAATTAAATCTGGAATATTTATATCTTTCTTGTTAATTAAAATTCATCCTTTATCAAAATAGTTCTTATGGTAATAGCCACAAATGTCTTTCAATAAATCTTGTCTACCTCTTGTTTCTATGTAGCTCTTATATGACTCCAAACTTTCTTGAAGAGTTCTTACCATATTCTCTTCAATATCACAGTTGTCTGGGTTTTGTTCCACCAAGTTTTCACTTAAATATTTCACTTAAAGCTATAAATTTTATTATTATTTAAAACTGATTTTAATATTTAAATCCTGTTTCAAAATAACAGGTTTTACAATAAAATTATGGTTAAAATAGCAATCTATAGAGTATATATTTCTTATATTATGGTAATTAAATATACACTATTACCTAAAGTAGAAGTTACTTTTGGATACTTTGTGTGGTAACTAAAAGTGAAGTAACTTCTAGCTATGTAAGGTATATTATTATCCTATAATTGAAGTTTTGTATGAAATTCCAGCTAATTTTTCGGTCAAAAGAAAAATTTTTCACTGTTTTACATAATAAGATATTTTAAGATTGATTACACTAGGAGGATATCGAATATAATTCAAATAAAAAACAAAACTACTGTATGTATATTTATGCCTAACCTTTAACATTTCAATTCGACAGATCTACTAACATTAAGTAATCAAAAATGTTTAGAGTAATTTAAATAAAATACTCACCAAATAATTATAAATTATTTAAGTTATCCTATATTGAAAGATCAGTCCTTTACATTAGTAAAACTAAAATATCTGCAAGATCTCTCTCTGTTTGAATAAAATTTAAACATGGTAGCAGTTTATTGCCTCTAAAGGTTTTGTGACATCATTTCCAGTCACATGACTCCACACCCAAAAGAGGGTTCCGAATTTTTATGAGCACAGTCTCTGGGTTTTGGGAAGGCTTTGCAGCCAAAAAACTTGTGCCTGTATTTTCTTGCTGCTATTGCCATTTCCCTTTTTAATATTGCTACTACACCCTTTCTTCTCCATTCACATCTTTTAGAGTCGTCATCTGTTGCCTGTAATTACAAATTCTATTAATATCACATCAATTACTTAAACCAGGATATGAGAAAGAAGTGGACTGTTGCTGCCCAGGTCCTTGGTGGCAGCAGTCCACTTGTTTCTCTATTTGCCCAAGAGGCAGCCTGATGGAACCATTTTGGAACTCATATTTCAGGCATACAAACATGAGAAAGCTACTGCACATGTCAGCCCACCCACACTTCTCTCCTTTGGGCTTAGAGATGCAGCATACCCCGTGTACCCAGTAAGGCTAGGATGAGTTATGTGGCTATGGCTTTTCCTCCCAAGGTTATATAAGCCATATGAGCAGCCTCCTGTCCTTCTAGTGAATGTTTATAAAAAATGTAATTACTCACTTTAAGGGCAGTAGGATGATTGTATTACTTTTTTTTGTTTATAAATAACTTTATTTGTTTATAAATAATTTGTTTGTTTTTGTTATTTATAACAAAAAAATCCAAAACAAAAGAAGGAAAAAGAATTAAGAGAAATGTACTTTTTGCATGTGACCCAACATCATCTCTCATTTTGGATCTCACTGAGATTTGTCAAAATATAACATCATATGATTTTTGACTTATTAAACACTGACTTTATAGTGTATTTTGAAGACACATGGCAAAATTTTCAAATAAATCAACAATAATAATGTTTAAACGTGTTTAATAAGTCAACAATAGGAAAAGGACACGGTTTTGCAACATACATCATATGATTTTATTCACTACCTCTCCACTGAAGAGACCATGTAGAAATTTTGCCATCCCACTGAGCTTATCTCTCATATGGACTTGACCATTTTTGAACTGCCAAGCTGCCATTGCAGAGATAAGCATTAATTGAGTTTTACATGTAAAGGAATGTCATATGAGGATTTCAAAGTTTTGAGTCACAGCACATGCCTTTCCTTGTCGAAACTGAATAATCACTTAGATTATTCAGTTATAATGCATTTAACATTAAAAAGTTATCCTAAAAGCCTTATAGAAAAATTAATTTCATTGTCATGGCATATTTATGCTGCAAAAAAAAATATTTTAATTGATAAATTGTTTTTTAGTGCACAAATAAGAAGAGCCTGGGATAATAAAAAGAGCATTTTGAATAATCTGCGAGAAATGGGATTATCTGCCGATCCTAATAAAACTTTAAAAGTACCTTCTGCAAAAGTAAGTGTGTGATTATATACATAAATTACAAATGAATGTAAATTTAAATATAGTTATTTGTATTTTCAATGTATTATTTATTTTCAATTGTTTGTATATAATAAGGAGTTGTTAGTACCAATGGAGTTAGACAATGTAAAGAAACAAAAGAAAAGGACTACAAAACCTCCAAAATTATTTGTTGCAAAAGGTAATTAAATGAATTGTATCTTTTTAATTTATTCTTACAATTTAGACATTTTTAATCATACAATCTCTCTACACACCGGTAAATATAAATAAAATACTCCTCAAACCTTTTAACCAGAGTGCTTCTATTTGTAGAATCGTGAACGTTTTTGTCGCCCCTCCTTGGGGTCTTCTTCAGGCTTTAACAAATAGGCTGTTACTGTTCAAATAAACATTCAATATGAATTTCTTCTGTGAAAATCTATCATGTGAAATTGTTCCATAGTTGTATTGCGCATGCTCCATAATCATCTCTTTAAATGCTGTTATCCAGCAAAATCTGCCATGCTACAGATAGGACCATTTCCTCCTTATAATTAATACATGTACCATTTCTTCCTGCCTTAAATAACTCCATAATTTCTAGCCAGGCCCGCCGTAAGTGGGCGTGCATCGCACACGGGCAGCAAATAGAGCAATCAGTCACATAATACCTGTATTCAAAGTCATTGTCATAATACCCACCCTACTTATAGCATAAGAAATGTCTTCGCATGGAGAAAAAAATCTGACCGGTGCACAATTACTATATTCTTATTTATATTATAGCGTTAACAGCGTCTCTATTGGCATCTATCAGAATTAATTAAGATGCAATGCGAAACGTCTGTCGGGTTTAACCATTCGGCGGCGCTTTAAAGCAAAGTCGTGCTGTATGACAGAAGTTGATAGGACTGGCAAAAATAGGAAATCCCCACAGAGCTTCCTTCTCAATTTGTACTTGTATGCATTCGAACAGTTCTATTGCATATCAAATTGCAATTCTTTTGTTAATAATTCCTCTGACATGGGTCTAAGTATAATTAATGATATTTTAACTTGGTTAGGATTTAAATTTGAAGCTTAAAGACGATTCAAGTAGTGAAACAGACATTGACGGTATTGATTTGTTTAATGAAATCAATACTTTCAAGTTGCTCTTTCCAGAAAACCAGTCTAATGATCCACAAACCGTATTACAATATCTTTTTACTGATGACTTAATTTCAACATTTCCAAACACATCAATAGCACTAAGAATATTACTTACATTGCCGGTTTCAGTGGCATTTGGTGAAAGGTCATTTTCAAAGTAAAAAATTATTTTAAAAAAAACTATTTAAAATCAACAATGCACTAGCAAAGACTAAGTAATTCAGGTATAGTTTCAACTGAACATGAAATCTTAGACAGCTTGGATACAAAAAAATTGATAGCAGATTTCACAAACATAAAGGCAAGAAGAGTTCAATTTTGGTAGATAAATATTTATATGGTTTTACACTTAAGTAAACAAAAATAACTTAGTAATAATAGTTTTTCTTTGTAAAGTATTTCTTTTCTTTTTTCCCACCTTATGAGACAAAACTAAAGAGCTTTTCTGGCAAGCTCAGCGTAGATAGTCTTAGTTAAACAGGGGGCGGCATAATCGGTATTGCACACGGGCCCCCTGCTTCTAGCCATTTTAGCTGTTGTGAGTTGGAGTTGATTATAATGATTTTTGCCACTGCAGGTCTGCTGTTCCGAAGCATATGTTGCTAGGGCCATTGTGTTTCTACCATGCTGTATGTCTGACTCATGTTCTTTTAACATTTCGTGGAACCAATGTATGTCAGTTGTCTATCATACTTGTTGTCTTATAGCAGTACTGTGTATACCCCTGGAAGCCTTTCAGGGTTTGGTAGGTTTTTGCCATTAGTTAGTATCCTGAAGACAGTTTGACACCTTCTGTATGCAATATATATGCCCCGTTGTTTGGCTACCATGTTGTAGACTGATTTCAGTATCGGGTTATATGTGATAGGTATCCTCTCTTTTTCTTCCTCATGTATATTCAATGGTGGCCCTGTCTGATCAATGGCTTTTTGGGAAACCTCATGCCTTTTAGACAAATTTTTGACTAGAGTGTTGTTGTATCCATGGGACTACAGCAATATTTTCTATATGTTGGAGTTCCATTGTTAGAGCTTGTTGCGTTGAGGAGTGCCTGTGTGCTCTTCTCACTAATGCTTGGAAAGCGGCAATTTTGTATGGGATAGGATCGCACGAATTTCTTGGAATATATGTTGGCAAGGTACTAGGTTTCTGGTACACAGATGTAAGTATGTTAGCTCCTTTGAAGTTGATATCAATTTTTTTATTAATTTTTAATCATTCAATTAATAATATGATTACTGATTTATCTGACAAGTTGTAATAAATCTCTACAACAAACCAGTCTTTAAATGTGTTTCAAAATTCTATGTTTAGTTTACAAATATTTAAAAATCTTTACAATTATAAATTTTATGGATAAAATTTTTCTAATTTTGATCCTATGTTGAGTTATCAGATATGGGACTGAATATGAAAAGACTACGACTTTAACCATTGCTATTTCTATTGGTCAGTTGAAATTATACAATGTGTTTCATAACAATCTTACAAACTTTTCCTTATGGGGATTAAAGAGACTGTGGTTCAAAGTGAATTTGTTGTAAACAACAACACACAACACTAGGATATAGTCAACAACTTACTCTATGAACTGATGACTGGTGTGCAAAGAAAACCATTTAATGCCTGAAGAAGAACTCTGGGGAGTTTGAAACGTTTTTGGTGAATTTTTGTTTTGTTTTTTCTTTGCACACTGGTCATCGATTAAGAGGGTACATTGATGAATTTGTCGGTATAGAAGAGCCAAAGCAGTTATTGAAGAACTTATTGATATTATTTCCACAGAAACTTTAATGACAGCTATCAGAAATAGTGGATTGTGATTTGGAGGCCACTCTGTTTGCTAATACATATTAATATGACATTCATACAAAGAGGCCATTCCATACTGTGTGGCCTTTTCTATGAATGCCATATTTAAACCAATAATGAAATGGCTTGAGATGGAGTAAATATTTTTCTGCTGCACAGTTTAGTAAAAGTTATGAAACACACTACATTATTGTACAAGGTTTGTTTAAGAAGATTTAGGAGTGGGTTAAAAGATTAAAACATACTAAGATATAAAAAAATTTAGTTAGTATTTTTGAAATAATCACTTCAACCTTCAATATATTTTTTCCAACAATTTCTCCAATTGGAAAAATATTAAGTTAAATGAGTTTATTTCAAGTATTACAAAATTTTCTTTCATTCGTCTTGTTTGAACTCTGTTGACTTAATCTTCACTGGAAAGAAACTCAAGAGTTAACAGAGTGAGGATATTTATTCGGATTAAGCCCTTTTTGGGATTTTCTATTTCCATCTTTGACCCGTGATGTTCAACGTTCTGAAAATTGGAATCAAACAACTGTTTGTACATAACTTTCTGGATGTAACTGACTAACTTACAAACATTTTTTAACAGAGCAACAGACACTTTTAAATGACCAGTATTTGAGATATATACAAAAATTATAACAAACGTGAAATAATAACATCTGTGCATAAACTAAGAAATAAAATACAAATAAAACTAAACTAAAAGACAAATAAGGTAACAACAACCAAAAGTGCTAAAAACATAAAAAGAAATATATGGTGTCCCATAAATTTGTAAATAGTTTAAAAATTCATAAAAGTTGAAAAAATTGGTATATTTGAATGCGGTTTGCGTAAAAGATATTCTCACGGAGGGTGATTTTTTTGGGTAGAGAAAAAGGAAATAGTTCAAACCTTTGTCAATAGAGGGCGCTAAACACAAGAAAATCACTGGAATTGTGCAAATCTGAGTCTTATAAAATGCAGGGTGTACGATTAACAGCTCATTTCTGAATTTTCCTGCTACTGGTGCTGACTTGCAGTTTTAATTATGATGTTGACATTGGTGGATAAAGCACTATTGGTGAAGTTGTTTTATCTCAGCCACGAATTGCTGGCTGAAACTTTATGAAGGTTTAGGACACAGAAGAGAATGAAAAAAGGTTCAGGTCTAATCACTCCTGCCGGATTGGTTTCCCTAGTATACTATTTCGAAGAAATGGGAAGTTTGTGTAGTCACCCACTCAGTGGTGAACCACGTTTATCAGAGGTCCATACCTCTGATGTGGCTTTGCAAATGGAGACTCTGAGAGAACAGCCAAAGAGTGCCATAAGTAGTTCACGAGAACTGGCACAAATAACTGGAATACCAAAGACATCAGTATTCTGCATCCTGCATGGTGTGTTACAATTGTACCCATACAAGTGCAACTTGTATGGGTACAATCTGTATGCAACTTGTATGGGTACCACTGCATCAGCTCTTACCAAATGACACAGCTAAGTGAGTGGACTTCGCAAATTGGGTTTTGTCGAATATCAATGAAGATTCACAATGGCTGCCTGATATCTTGTGTAGTTTCACTGCATCCATTATTGTGGGCTTTTTTTTCTTTGAAGAGCCCTGTAAAAAAATCAGGCTGGAAAACATGCTCAATTACTGGAATGCATTAGTTGCAAATGCTACGGGAGAAAGTGATACCATGCTTATTGGAACATAATGTCCTTGACACAGTGACATTCGTGCAAGACAGGGCACCTCCTCACATTGTAACCAATGTGTAGACATTCTTGAGAAGAACCTTTACTGAAGAACGATTAATCAGTCGTTACTGTACAAATGAATGGCCCCCTCATTCACTGGATTTAACACCCCTTGATTTTTGGCTATGGGGTTACGTTAAATCCTGAGTGTACCACAATAGGCCATCTTCTTTAGTGCAGTTAAAGGATGCCATTTGCCACGAAATCTCCTGCATCCATTCAGATCTGCTACATGCTGCAGTTAACGGTGTTGTCACTCACTTGCAAACTGTCATTTGTGGTGATGGCAGACACATAGAACAAGTACTCTAGTGCTGTGATATGCGTGTAAGTGTAAGCATTTGCCTGCATGCAAATAAACGTAATTTTCCCATGGAATTCCAGTGATTTTCTTGTGTTCAGTGCCCTCTATCGACAAAGGTTTGAACTATTTATTTTTTCTCTACCCAAAAAAATCCCCCTTTATGAGAATAACTTTTATGTAAACTGTATTCAAATATACCAATTCTTTCAACTTTTATGAATTTTTAAACTATTTACAAATTTATGGGACACCCTGTACAAAATAAGAGTAAATAAAAATGTAAAGCTAATTTAGTAGTATGAATAGACATCTAAGTGTTAAAACAAAATTGAAATGTCGGTCTGATTGATGGAAGTTTGTACAATATAAATAGCCAACTTGGGGAGAAGGTTAACCTGGAGTTTTCAGGACAGGTTTGCAACTGTAGAGATGAAATAAACCTTATCCAAGAATTTAGTTTGTTTCCTTTTCTTCTTTTATTTATGACTTGAAGTTTGGCAGTGGCAATGGTCAACTCTCCAGCCATATTAAATGGCAGATATCTTGTATTTTTTCTCTTTTTCTTTCTTTTTTATTGTAATCTTGGTGTTCTTCAATTGATGAACACTTTTCTTTTTCATGCCAATTTGTTCTGCTATGGCCGTAGATAATTTCTTTTGTTTCAGATTATCTTTTAAGCTTGGACACTCTAATCTTAAATGCACAATACATGTTGTCTGTTGAGTACTCTGTCCTGTCATATATTTTACTTGGGGGAATATATGGTACTTTGTTGCTCCTTTGCTATCAATTCTTTATTTTTAATCATGTCATGTATCATTGGCTGTCTTACACTCACACTTGTACATTCTACATTGTTTTTGCCTAGATGTTTCAAAAGTTAGAAATACCTCTATAATCATCCTATTCCCTTTTCATTCATAAATAACATTCAAACCTCTTAAAAATTACAAATCATCATGGAAAACCACTTGAAAATTTGAGGTTTCATAAAGTAGATTTTATGAAGATTCATAATTTATAAATAGGTTTGAATATTTTTAAAACTGAGAGGAATAAATCTCTGTCAGTTAAAAAGAAAAAATTAAATAATTGCAAGTATCATTGACTGGCAATATTGAAGTTGAGATAGTTTTAAATTTTGAGATTTTTGAATTCTAAAATTTTTTATATTTAACATGTAGACATTTCTGATGATGAGATGTGAGGCTTGAAAATAGTTGTGACTTTATTTATTATTAGATGATGTATTAAATTAAGGATAGGAATTGATCAGTATACTTGTCTTTATAACTTTCAATGAATAATTAACCATAGAAAGTTCATCATAAAAGTAATAAAAATCTATCTTACAGCTTTCGTGCTGATGCTTACTAGATCAGTGGTTCCCAACCTTTTTTTATTAGCGTACCTTGTGACATGTCATATCTCTAGATTGTACCCCTCATTTAAGAAATTTAGTGAGTACCAGTATTGTTAATTTTACATATTGTAACTTTAAATTAAAGAAAAAAAAGTAAATGAAAAAATGTATAATAAAGTTGTGATTGTTGCAAGGAACATATTTTACCTAATAATTTTTTAATACTATTAGTTTGTGATACATAATATATAATTTTTTCTGTCATAATAACTAATTTTTTTCTATACCTCTAAACAACCTATCGCGTACCCCTAGGGGTACGTGTATCACAGGTTGGGAATCGCTGTTCTAGATAATAAATTATCGAAAGTGTTATAAAATTATTTTATTATATATTTTTTATTAAAGATGTATGAAAATATTTGATATGTAATATTTATTTTTCCAGAATTGGAAAATGAAGCAAAAATGCCACAGCCAAATAAATTTCGTCTACCTAATGAAATTGTGAAATATTGCATTTATATGTTGGAAAAATATGGAGAAGATTACAAGGTAATGATGTAACTATTTTCTAAATGTAATTAATGGTATGTACTGTACAGGGTAAGTTCTTGGCCTGACCTACTTAATAAGAAACACAATACAACAACAAATGGTATACTTTTTTAAAAAATCAATCTTTTAAAAAACTTCTTAAAAGATTAAAAAACTTCAAAGGTTGATACAGAAGATGTAATAAATTTTATTACAATAATTGTGATGTAATAAATGCTAATGGTTGTAATCTTTAGTAATTTTGTCTCTGATAAAATGTGGTTATAGCTTAAAAAATGACAGTTGCCTTCTGTATCAACCTTTGAAGTTTTCTAATCTTTTAAGAAGTTTTTTAAAAGATTGATTTTTTTTAAATATATAAAAACGACACACAACAATAAATCTTTGACGGTATCTTACGGTTGCAATGTTTTGTGGAAAGTTATAATGAAAAAATGACAGAGAACAATATCTGATTTGAGAAAACAGAGTTTTGAATCATCAGTAGATTCCATTTTCTTGAGGGAATGTCACCACAAGGATATGATGAAAACATTGGAAGATGGTTATTCCAGTTATTTCAATGTAGAATGTGGATAAGCAATTTTCAATGAGGTGACTTTGGCATTTAAGATGCGGGGAGGCCAGTTTTCATCTATGTGCCAGAAATCATCAATGCTGTGTACCAGCTGATTTTTGAGGACAGCCAAATTTTATTGGAATAAGTAGCTGGATGTCAGCAGATGTCCAAAGATTAAGTTGGACACATCGAAAGAATGGGAGAATGTACTCAACCCACAAAATCCCTTAACATGAGAAGTTGAAGCATCAAAGCTTGTTTGGCTTTTTGAGATTTTATAGATTGATTGGTGGCAATGGATGAAACCTTGCACTTGTATGATCTGGAAACAAAGCGGCAGTCCATTGAGGCATGAGCATTATCCATGATCAAAGAAATTTCACATACATCAATCTCAAGAAAATTCTGGTATTGATTTTCTGCAATAGTTGAAGTATTATTTTGCTAAAGACCAGATCATCAATATGGATTATTATACATTATTACTAGTGCAGCTGAAAGAGAAACTGAAGGAAAAATGTCCTGAAAAGCTTGTCAAGGGTATTCTTATTTTGCATGATAACACTCCAGCACACACTACCTGGAAAATTGTATCTAAACTGACTCAACTGGTGTTTTTATGGTTTAACATCCATCCTGTTTCCCTAACTTAGTTTCTTCATATTACCATCTCTTCCCTATCCAGTGGTTGATCTGTAAAACTTAAAAATATCACCACCATTTTGCCAGTTTTAAATTTTTTTTGCCACTTTGAATTATTTATTTCCAACAGTTTTACTTACTAATTAATGCAGCTGGTGGCCTTATTAGTTTGGCATCTGGAAAGCAAAACATTTAAGCTGTCACAAGGAGAGGGCCAGATGTTCAAGTCTCTGATTTGAATGAAACTTGGTGAGCCACTATCGCTTTTCTCTTTCTTGGATGACATATTGGTTAAATATATAAATCACAAAACTGAAAAAAGGAGTTTAGCACAAACACTCGGAAAAGCAATGCTAATGCTTAACTCGCACATGCCTAACAGCAACTAAAATTTGACACAAAAAACCATTACGTTTGTTATCCGAATTTCGTCCGTTATCCAAGACAAAATTTTTGCAAAATAAAAGTTCGTTGACCGATTTGGTCGTTAACCAGGGCATTCATTATCTGAGGTTCCACTGTATTTTCAATAACTGTTTTTAAGATACACAACAGGTGGTAATGTAAAAATGTAAGTTAAATTTTTTTTTAACTAAAAGTGGTCGGTGGTCGAAATAAGTTTGAGAACCTATGGTCTAAGACCTTCCTTTGGTTTTTTCTTTCTGATTTCAGCTTCAAATACCTGTTTGGCTTGTTACTCTTCCCATTTTTTCTAAATGGCCAAACTGCCTCGTATTAGTCTCATGTACTCTTTACTGAATATTAGTTTCCTTGAGGTTTTTTTATGTCTTCATTTTTAATATGATTTTGTTGCTTTACCACTAATTTTTCTAAATATTCTCATTTCTGCCTTTTCTAATTTTTGGTCAATTCTCTTATTTCTCACCCAACTCTCAGAACCATATGTCAATATAGGTTTAAAAACTGTTATATGCAGCTAGTTTTGTCTTATGACTTACTTCTTTTTTGTTCAAGATATATTTGATCAATTTGCTCCCTGCCTGATCTGCTTTGCTTAATCTATTGCTGATTTCCAAATCTAACTTTCTGTCTTCACTAAAGATTGTTGCCAAGTATGAGAACTTATTGACATGCTCTAAGTATTTGTTACCAAGTTTAACTGTTAAAGACTCTTTATCTCTACAGAGCCCACTAGTGGCCAAGTGGTCTTCATACCCTGAACACTGTGAGTTCAGTCATGGGTTTGCATTTGCTTGGATGGGCTGGCCACATGGAATTTTCCAGGTTTTCTCCACATCTGTAATGTGTAAATAGGGGCCAGTTTCCTTTAAAAAAAAGACCTTCCACAAGGCACTCCCTAGTCATATCACCCAGGTGTTGCATTGCCATAACTTAACAAACAAACTTTTTCTCTACCAATAGCCATAAAATTTTGTTATCTCTTAGTTGATTGACATACCAAAATTCCTGCAACTTTCCTTTAAATTATTTAAAGATTGCTGGAGGTCCTTAGGTTTATTGCTTAATATAACAATGTCATCTGTGTAAAGAGCCAACCTTTATATTTCTCAAACTGAAGTTTGTCAATAGTTTTGATTCTTTTATTAAATTATCCATGAAAATTATAAATAATAAAGGGAACAATGTACACTCTTGCCTCACTCCTAATTTTACTTGGAACCATTCACCTATTTGTCCTTCTATCCTTACAGCTTATTTACAGTTCTTATACAAGCTTTGGATTTCCCTCAGTAGAGTATCTTTTATGCCATATTTTTCAAGAAGTTCGAAAAGTAATCCTCTAGGCACTCTACCAAATGCCTTCTCTAGGTCAACAAATCCCAAGTATAACTTCTTGTTATATTCCTATGCTTCCTCTATCAATTGTCTTAGTGTATATATTTGATCTGACATCTGTTTTGTTTAAAGCCTGTCTGTTCTTCTCCTAGATTGCTTTCAAATATATGTCCTACCCTTTTTTCTAAAATGCTGGCATAAATTTTAGCTGGTACACTGAGAGGCGAGGTTCCTCTATAATTACTACATTCTATTTTATTCCTTTTTTATGAATGTGTGAGGGACGAACAGACCCACAATAAAGTGTTATTTTAAGATTTGGAAAATATAATCGGTTAAATTCGAACGTTTTATCGAGTTAGGCTAAAAGCCATAAAAATTATTTCCCATGGAGTTTGTTCCTTGTTGAGTCGAATCAAGTTAGTCAGGGATGTGTCACCAGGAACTTTGAATGGAAAGGACATATTGGACGGGCGACCGTTAAAGGCCATCACCTGACCTCATGGAAAAAACCCAAGAGGAATGAAAAAGGAAAAAAGAAAAACGACCCCGAAGTCAGTCGTCATCCAAAGTCCGCCCGACAAAGTCGTCCTCCAGGATAAAAACCGTGCCCAGGATTAAAACCGCTACCCAGGATAAAACCCGTGCATCAAAATTCCGAAATAACACCTTGACAGAAGTAACACTGTGTCTCCTTAAGAATCTCACCCCACTTCCGTGCTTCCACACCTCCGAGATCCAATTAACAGACAAGAACTAGTGGAAAGACCAGTTCAGAGGAGTCAAGAGTGACATCATACGATAGATCTGCGACCTAGGAAAAAGAAAGGTATTTATCAACCCGCGATCCGGTTGTAAACTCTCTCTCTCAAACGGAATAGTATAATTAAGTCCGCTAATATGCCGATATCTGTATTTTCTTTGTTTATTATTAAAATTGATTTTTTGTTAGAACATATGGAGTCCGAGTGAGTCACTTCCTCGTCTCTCTCCTCATCTCTACTCCGAATCCAAGCGCTCACACGCTACCGCTAGCGAATTTTAGACTTAACGTCGCGATTTCCGAGTCCCTTAGAGACTCGGTGGTGTCATCCTGACAGGGCGCCAAAGAGGTGCCGACCCTACGGTCACAAATGGGTGCAATTAAATCTTTTTCCCAATCCTATGAAACCTTCCCTTAGACTTTGTTTCACATTTCAATGTGTTTTTCAAGAAACCTGTTAACATTTAATCTTTGTGGATGCTATCCAGATTTGTGTTCCTAGTTATTGTAAGGTTACCGATGTTGAGGGGAAATAAAGTCTATCTCGCGTCAGAATGAGCCTAAGGGAAACCGTGTATGTGGGTGGTGGCGAAGGAGGCAAATGAAGAACAAGTGTTTTACAAAAGAAAACCCGTTTATTTGTTCGAATTCATGCTTACATTGATATTGGACAATTCCAAAATCTCGGTGCTCCTGGGAACGGTGAAAGTTCGTGTGATCGGTCGCAGTTCGGGCGGACGAGAAGGATCACTGGGCGATACAGATGTTCGTTGTTAAGCTGCGGCATCCTGGGTGATAGGCGGTTGCACAACACAATCTAAATCACAACGGTAGGCTTAATCCAGAGGAGACTCTCTTTTGACCTTGAAGTTCCAATTTTTATAGTTTTTCCCTCACTGTTCGCATTTCGGATTGGTCCCTCGTCCCATTCCTCGCTTCCCGATTGGTCTCTCTTTTGTCTCCAGGTGCAAGACAAAACTTTTTTGGGTCGCAGGAAAGGTCCGATTCGAGGTGTCCATCTGATACCTCTTTGTCGACTCTGCTCAATGACTGTTTATAAAACAATAACACCTGCACTCATAACTCAGGCTGTCATTTACCATTTTTTGACGTCTAAGAATTTAACGATCATTTTCATCTTTCATCTATCAAAAATTTCCCTTCTTTTGTTCAAAAGGTTTATCTCGGTCAACATTTTATAGACACGCATGTCAAAGATCTACCTGTTTATGAGCGCTCGTGTTAGAGTTTGTCTTCTACTAAAACCTTGACAGATAGTTTGACACATACTCGAACCATTCTGAGTCTTGTTGTTTTCATTTTGTGTCGCGCAAGAATTTCACAGTTTACTCGAGTTCGAACCTCGTCTGGGAACCCACATTATTTCTCATGTTGTAATTTGTGTAAAGGTGTAAGATTCATTCTCTAATGCAGTGTTCTGCAACCGGTGTGCCGCCACATGGTGAAAAGTGTGACGTGAACGTTTACATATTCTGTTAATTTCAAGTTTTATTTATATATTTTTACACATTTTTATTTATATACAGTATTTTTATCACAGTTGTGTTTCTTATGCTTGTACAGTATTTCGTTCTCTGCCTCAGCACTGATGAAATAAGATGATGTTTGTTTATTTTTATTACAAGCCACGCATTTTTATGTATTCTAAGAAATTATATGTAAAATTAATTTGCTCACAGGTAGGTGTTGATGTCTGTTTAATAACAATAATAATAGGTTAGTGGCATTACGTAATTCTATTAATAGTAGAATATCATACGTTTTTGAGGGGAATAATATTTTGGTGTGCCATGGGTGAGCCATGGGTGTGCCGCAAGAAGGAAAAGGTTGCGGAACACTGCTCTAATGCAGCGGTTCTTAACCTCGGGTGTGAGAGAGCATTTCCAGTGGTGCGAGAGAAATTTCAAAAATTTAAAAAAAAAATACTAATGAGATGACAGTGTTCTCTACAAACTGGTATCCAGTAACACGGCACCCCCACTTCTACACTCTCTACTCTACTGTCTTTTAGCATATAGTGCTTGTCATCAGTTGTCAGTACATGCAGTTAATGTAGTCACATTGTCACATGCAGTACAGAAACTAGTTGAGATGTGTTTGCATACCTTGAATATAGCACTTTTACACATCAAAACAAAAGCCAGAAATTGCTTAAATGCATCTGATGACTTACTTACACATGGCTCTTTCAAAAAAAGAGCCTCGTTTTAATAGAATTATTATGAATAAACAACAACAACCTAGCCATTAAAATTTAAACATTGCTTTTTATGTTATATAGTAATATATATTGTAAATAAACACAGCATTTGTTTATGCAATAAATGTTTTTTTCTTAACATAATAAAACATAAGCTCTTGAATCTGAAAATAAGCAAGAGCTTATTTTCAGATTCAAGAGGGTGCTGACCACTAAAAAGGTTAAGAACTGCTGCTCTAATACAAAGCTCATTTCTATGATAGTTTGGATAGTCTTCTTTGAACATTGTAAGGCATGAGTCACGATTATTAAAGCTCCTTTAGACATACTTAAGTTGACAACTTGGCAGAAGTTAATTACCATTTTAGCAGTAATGCTATTTGTGTTATGGATACTGGATCTTCCATACATGTATGACCGAGGGTGCAGCTTTTACACTTCATTCGTCTATTGCCTTGGCATTTCATTTTGTGCATTCTCGTCCTGGTGGAGGATAAATTATCGGTTCGGTAACCGAAATTGCATAAAAGAGAGAATTTGTTAAAAAGTATTAGTTTTATTACTTTTACTTTAGTTGCTGGCAATAGATAGATATTTGTTTTAATTTATTAGGTTTTATTAAATTACAATTTTAATTTTATGGTAGCAAATAGTCATTTTATATTATAGATTTGATTCTCGGTTCTTTCAATTTGTTCAAACAAGAAATTGTTTATTACAGCTAGAGATGGATCAAAAGAATCAAAATGGTTTTAGCTCTTAAGCTCATGAATTAATATTGAAATATAAAGAATTTAACAGAAACAAAATAAAAATGTAGTAAAGATTATATGAATTTATATATGTTATATATTAAGAGTTTTATAGCTTAAATCCTTCCAGAAAATTATGGTTTTAAAATGTAATATTAAAATCAACTTTGCATTTATTGTGTATTTATAATGTAATTGATTTATTGTATATTGCAGGCAATGGCTCGTGATCCAAAGAATTACCAACAAGACACACCTGCTCAAATAAAAAGAAAGATTCAAAAATTTCAAAGTATTCCCGAACAGTGGAATAAATATTTAAGGAAAAAAGAAGGATCTTGTTTATAAAAGTCTTTTGGCGTATTAAATAGAAATTTTATTTCATCAAACATTTATTTTTATTTCTAAGCTTTGATTCCGTTATGACGCCACAACTCCTTAAATTGTAATTATATTGACTTTTTCACTATAGTCAAGGTAGGTTGGACATAATAGACAGGTGTCATTTATTATTTCAGATGTAATTTTTATATTTGATTGCATAAAACTGTCTTACGTTTATATATTTTGCCTATCATTTGTGCATTTATAACAATAAGTTATAAACCATGATGTTTGTGGGACCAGTTTGTTTCCAAATAATTATTTGGAAACATAAACCGGTCCTTCAAATGTTTAATTTGAACATTTAAACAATGGAGTATAACAATTCATGTGGTTTAGGATCTTTTTCCACTTTTTACGACAAAGTTTCCCTGCAGGTTAGAGCATTTCTAATGGGTAGTCCCTTATCCAGTCTCCAGACTCTTAAGATTGTCATCCAAGCAATTGAAACATTAAGGTACAAAGTTTTAATTTTTAGAGTACAAAGTTTAAACAATTTAGGGCAATTTAATCTAGAATACATCAAACCAGAAACAATTTGGGGAAATAAATATAACTTTCAATATTAAAAACGTGCAGTTTTTCAATCCATGAACTAAGTTAACTAAAACTAGTATTATGAAGCAGTCGTCTCTTGCTTATACAAGACGCTGCTGTTTCCATTTTCAGTTTTGTGACGTAGTCTAACAATGTGGCCCTCCATTGCGAATCTTTACAATTAATTATAATCACATTCTCTAAGATACCAATGAAATTCTAAGAGGATTAACCACCTTAACACACTACAAAATGAGGTCAGATTAACGTTCAAATTAAGAATTTTAATGTGCCGAAAAGAGAATATAAATTAATTTATGTCGGATAAAACAAAAACACAAGAAATTTTACTTTTTAAATCCATTTATTTATCTTTTATTTGTTAATTAGGATAAATGTCTCTTCGTGACATTTTCAGAAATGTAACTTATTTCTTTGGTTTATTTTATTATACATTATCCCAAAAGGGTTGGAATGAAAAAACATCGAGGATTAATAATATTAGAAACAGAGCCATTTATGGCCGTGATGAGGGTGTTTAAATCTGTTGTATTTGTTGTGATTAAAAAATTAAGTTGATAGAATATACTATTTGCATTGTTACAATCAAACTCTTGATAAAGTTGATTTTGAAGGCAAGTGATGACATTCTTTATTCTACAGCACGGATTAAGAAATTGTAATAATAAACTCCTACAATTACAACCGATTAGACTTAGTATAGATTGTATGCTGCAATTCAGAAGGACTTCTACAATTCGTCTATTACTCAGGTCACATGTAAAATTTGCGAGCTGTGTGATATTCAATATACACTGTAGATTGGGGCAAGTACAGTAGAACCTCGATTATCCGGACTAATTGGGGATGAAGGTAGTCCGGATAAGGAAAAATCCGGATAATCGAAACAAATACTTTAATTTGTCTATTAATGATAATACAACACGTTTTCTTTTCGATGACATATCGGTAATATTAACAATAAATACTTTATTTAAATCGTGATCAAATTTTCAAGAAACAAACGTTCGTATTGAATTTGGTCTATTACTGACCAGCGCTAACAGACTAGCTATTGTTTAAAAGGCCTTCTGGTGGCTCANTTTATTAAGTTTCTATTTTTACTTTTTCGGTTGTTATATTTAAAAGAGGGAAAAATATGGCCATCGGTCAAAAAATGAACCGTCGAGATGTTTACATTTTTGGACTCGGGGACTTTGAGATGTGGAGAAATGAAAAGGAATTTGAAGGTTTTTTCCTGTATTTATGGATGTTTTCGTGTAGGGGGACGATTTTGTTCACCCTCTTTGAAAATAAATAACTCCCGGGCCTTTGTCGAAAACTTCTGAAAGTTAACACGGAGGTTTTTAGGGAGATCGACGCCATTAAATTTTAGTGGGTAAAGGTGGATGGGATGGAGAGATAGAGGCAGGGGCGGCCTTGGGCACGCTAATGTCAAGGGCCCACAAAAGTTTAATTATCGTAAATTTTTAATACTTTTTCATTAACAATTAGCACTTATCGTATAGTAAAAAATTAATAATATAATAATGATAATTTATATTATTTCTATTAACAAAAATGCGGTCTCATTGAACTTCAACAAGCCCTAGACCCCCGAAAAACCTACATTCGCCTGTGGATAGGGGTGACGTTTCGTATCTCAAATGCGGGCGAATCCCCGTCGTTTTAGTCGGTTACATCTAATAACACTAAAAATGTACTTTTTTTATTTTTGTCTTCGTCCTGCGGGCACTAAGAAGGTCTTACTATAAGCCCATCGGCCAAATCCACAATGGAGCGGTTGTATATGGAGAAAGAAAGCTGGACATATAAGGGACGAGCCCCACACACATATTTCTTGTGATTTTCGCCCTGGTCGGATCTCGGGCCCCCAGTACATACACCGCACACTTTACTTCACGAAGTTTTTATAATTTTAGCCATTATATCGTGGCTAGCGATTCGGAATGTAATTGGGATATTGAAAATTTATTTTTGAAAAGTTTCGGCTCGAGACCATATAATGAAAAATAAAACATTAAAAGAGAAAGGCCAATGCCTAAGTTATTAAATATAAACACTTCAATAAAAAAAAATTGTTGGACATTTTCACGATAAAATTTATGGAGACGTAAAATGGCTTTGTGGATGCATAACAATTCAAAAATTGTTTTGTTTCCTGGCCTAGTATGTTCAAGTGAAATTAGGGTGTGGAATAAGAATGGCTTTGACGGCTGAACCGCTTAAGGTTGTGCTCTATAAAGGGCGTGCGCAAATACCTATAATCTGGATGCTTTACACCATTCGAACATTTTCGCCGTTGAAGCTGTCCCGTATTCGGCAATGCAGCGCTTCCATTCTGCCACTGATATTCGAATATACAATAGCGATCTTATCGTTTTTTTCTCATGTAGTACAGAAATTTGTAATAAGATACATAATGCGGTAATAATAAAGTATTAATTTTAATGAATTCAAAGTACGTTAAAATATGGAAATAATCGCGCAATATGTATTTATATTTTAGAAAATACGAGGGAAGCGTTTGAAGAGCCTCTTCCCTTGTATTTTCTAAAATATAAGTAAACATTGCGCAATTAAGGACAGCACGCTACTTGTAAAAACATAAAAGATCTACAAATGTATACTGTTTAAAAATGAAGAAAATACCTATTTAATTAAAAAAGAATACTCTAAAATTCTATACTAATGAAAGTTAAATTTTAATTCTCGTCTTATAAAATATACGTAACGTTGTAAGATAAAAATTATAATTATGTAAACTTTATTACATAAAATTATAATGCTCCAACTGAAAAAGGGTGCAAAAATAGACGGCCGGATTGCCGAGCGGTCAACGTGGCAGCGTACCGTTCCGGGGGACCCAAGATAAATCCGATGGGTCGAAAAATCCCCGGGAATTTTTCGGGGGGCTCCGTCCGGATATGTCGGGCCCCATCCCTTACCACTTGGCCGCCCCATTGTGGTCTGGCCGGACCCATAATGTGTTTGCTGTAAGAGGCCCTCTTAGTGCCCACAGGGTGGAAACCCGAAATGTGATTTTGGAAGTGTAAACTTTAATAAAAAAATTAAAAAAAGGGAATAAAACAAATATAAGTACATATTAATTAATAGCCAAAAAATGTAGCTATAAAAGAATGAAATTCTAAGGAAAAAAAGGATTAGAAGCTTTAGAAATAAAGTCATTATTTTAATTGTATAATTTTATTTATACATACCTGATTCATTTGTGCTTCACCAGTTCCAAGAAAGACAATTTATGCAAAGAATAATTTTATTGCGTTAATAACAATTACGTGCCACGTTAATACGAGGTTATTATTCACTAATACAATAATAAATTTTCAAAAGTAGTTGCTACTTAAGAGTCAAATATTTTAATTATTTTAAATTCTTTCCTGATTGATCTCTTCGTCGTTTTTATTCATTCTATTTTCGAATTTTTTATGATGTTTTTAAAACTAATTTGAAAGTCGAAATCAAGACGGAGAATTGCGATGGGTTTGGTGAACAGCTGTTATATATCGAGTGTGTGGAAATTATGGACCATAAAAGAGTTCTACCCAATAATTTTCAACTTTGAGACAATACTTCCAGTTCCTCCCATTTGGTCCTTTTAGTGCTCTCGGGCGGAAAAAGAAAAAACGAAAATAAACGTCCAACGTAATAGAGAAGATTTAGTCGATTCGAGGAAGGCCAAGAAAGGATAAGGCCACGTAACACATTGGCAATCTGACAAAAAGGGAGGACTTTCTATCGAAAATCTGTTTCCGTTTAAGTATTAGACACGTGCAGAAATTTACACTGGGCCAACTTCAAGTGGCCAGGCGCGAACCCGCGACCAACTGTCAGTTTTCGGTGTTTTATCCATTTGACCACGAATTGTTAAACTGTTGAAGGGATAGCCTATTGGCGCTCGACTAAAGGCCAACTCCAAAGACTTTACATATAAATAGCAATAAAACTTGATTAAAAGACAAATACAACGTTATTTTTTAATTCCGGCAATAACTTGCGCATGATACAATGACTTACCAAAGATGGAAAGAACGAGTAGGCCTTTGTTCATCATTCTGTTTTTGAATCGAGTCGGTAGATCTGACGTGTCCTTTGGTTGCAAATTAGAAACGGATGCGGGCTCGTCTCAGTTTGTTGTGAAGAGTTCCGTTTTCACAGGCGTTTAAATACAGTTTCTCTTCTGCGCAGTAAATTCTGCTCATTCTCATTTTCCTGCGTTGTCCAGTGTTAAACAATACGTAATTCTGCCCACACAGATGTTATCTGCTGTACACTCGACATCTGCGAAGTGTCGTAAGTGCCTACGTATTTTTCGGCATTTGTTTGAATTGCAAATATATGTTCATTAAAATATATATTTTATCTCAATTCGAAAATTAATCAGAATAAAACATCTTATAGAACACTGAAGAACGTGACTGAATAATTCTTGTTCGAAATAAAAATTTTCCTTCACTATTTTAATGCTTTTAGTGAGGTTTGGTTTAGTGCAGGAATTTTTTAAACTCTTTCCGCCCTGTAGGCATTAAGAGGGTCTCTTTTAGCAAGCCTATTATGAGTTCGGCCAGGCCAACGATCGGGCGACCGGGTGGTGATCATT